CGAATATCGCGACTACGTCATTCGTTCGTTGAACGAGGACATCCCGTACAACCAGTTGGTGATCGAACATGTCGCTGGCGACTTATTGAAGGAGCCCCGTCGCAACGAAGAAGCGGGCTACAACGAGTCGGTCCTTGGCACCGGGTTTTGGCATCTGGGAGATTGGGTTCACTCGCCGGTCGATATCCGCAAGGACGAAACCGACCGCTTCGACAACATGCTCGATGTGATGAACAAAGCGTTTCTCGGGCTGACAGTCACATGTGCTCGTTGTCACGATCATAAGTTCGACGCCATTTCTCAGGCCGACTACTATGCCCAAATGGGTTTCCTGCAAAGCTCTGCCTATCGCCAGATTCGCTTTGAAACGGCCGAGCACAATCAGCAAATCGCTCAGGCTCTCGAGTCGCTTCGCGAAGAGTTCCAAAACAAAGCAGTACAAGCCTATCAGCAAAGTATCGACCAAGCCGCTGAGCGCTGGACGAAAGAACTGCAAACGCCTGAGTCGGCTTGGAATGTCGAACTCGCGAAAGCAGTTCAGGACGGAAAACATCCGCTCCACTTCTGGGCCAAGTATCTTGCTGCCTCTGCCGAACAACAGCCAAGTGTTTTGGCCGCAGCCAAGAACGTAATGGACAAGCAGCAAGCCGACGCCGCTGCTTACCGGGGGCAGATCGTTCACGACTTTGCCCGACTTGTCCCCAATCAGTGGCGAACCGACGGCGTCGCCTTCGGTAGCCAGCCACGTGCCGCCGGCGAATTTGTCTGGGATGTATCATCACCTCCATCACTGCGAGGCGTTCGTACCGACGGCGCGGCCGTTTATGACACGCGTTGGAGCGGACTGAAAATCGCGAAGGGTGTTCAGGATGACTTCGGTAAGACACGAAATTGGAATCGCGCCGGGCGAACGCTGAAGACACGCACTTTCGATTTAAGTGATGGCCGGATTCATTACCTCGTCAAAGGTAGCGGCAGGGCTTTTGCGGTGGTCGACTCTCATCGTCTCGTGCAAGGCCCGCTGCATGGAGCGACCGTGAAGGAATGGAAGTCGAACGACGCAGGTCAGATTCGTTGGATCACGCACGACCTTCGCGACTATCAAGGGCACGCCGTCCATGTCGAGCTGACGCCGATCGATAACCAGCCGATGGAAATCTTGCAGATTGTCGAAGGGGA